GGCTTTTCGCCTTGGTTAATGAAAAACCTTTTTCGGGAAAAACCCGGGGGGGCCCCTCCCTTTTTTTGTGGGAAGGGGGGTCAAAGGTTTAACGAATTCCGCCAGCCAAAATTAGGGTTCCCCCCCCCGGTTTTTCGCCCCGGAAAAAAAAAAAATAAAAAGGGGCCCCTGAAAAAATATCAATCCCATTCTTCCCCCCCCCTTCCCTTCCCAGGGGGGAAAGGAAGTAATGTTCATACCGGGGGGCTTTCCCCCCCCCCCCAAAAAAAAGCTTTCCCCTTTTTTCGGGGAACCCACCACCTTCGCCGGGGGGAATTGGCCAAAATTTTTGTGGGAAAAGGCGCCGGGAATCCCAAATTTAAATTTCCATTTGGGCGGCCCCCTCCCGGGGGGGGATTGGGCCAAGAGGTGGGGGGGGGGGGGGGGTTGGCCCCCGGGAAAAACGGGTTTCCCGGGGGGGGGGGGGGGGGGGGGGGGCATTGTGTACATATTCCACTCTGCTTGGCAATCACGCAATGCGGTGGCAGGTTATATGTTTGGGTGTGTTTTTTTCGAGCTTTTTTCTTTTTTTCCAGTTTTGGGAACCCACTTTTTTTCACTGGTCTTGGGGACGCGATAGGGGCCAATGGGACATTCATTCCATTTGCATCCGAATGGCCCTTTTTTCTGTATTTCCAAACGCATGTAGGTACCGCTACAGAGATTTGATACGACAGGCATGGTTATTTTTTCGCCCTCGCTCCACATACACGAGCCAACGCTGGCTAGGCGCCGCGATGATTATTGGAACGTTCACTTCAGCCGGACAAACAGCCACAGACTCTCTCGAAACCCATTCTCTTGCTGCGGCGTACCAGGGATACACCCAACACTAGCTTGTGGTTCTTGCCCATTCAATGCGGTGGTGCATTTCTTCGCCCTCGTCGCGTGGCAGGGTTGCCATTTTCGAGCGGGGGAACGGCGATGTGGTCGAGGTAGGGTACGACATGCTAGTGGGCGCGGACGGGGTCAACAGTCGCGTGCGCAAGTCGCTTGAGGAGAGTGTGCCCGACTTTACCGTCCGACAGCGAGAGGTAAAACCTTGCATTTTGCAGCGCTACGTTGTTGTTATTTGTTTTGATTCTTCTCCGAACAAATGAACTGCGTCCCATTTTGGTGGAACCAACGTGCGGTCGGTGCTCTGTCCGCGTTCAGAGCACAACTCACGGCACGAGGCGTTTCTTTTGTTGAGGACAACAACAACAACAACGACAACAAACGTAGAGGACCCCGCCTGCCTAGCTGCCGGCTGGATCGTTCCACCAGCTCATTTGGGGAGTTAAGAAAGGAGAATGTTCGCAAACTTTATGGCAGACGAAACACTTTCTGGTGATATGGTAGTCCGGCATGTTTTTGTGCAGGATCACATGGCCTTCAAGACGATCGAAATCCCGATCATGGGCATGGAGGAAGCAGACGAGAGCTGGAAAGAGCGCTTTCACGTCATCAACTCAGAGGTCGGGTGTATTGGTGCCGCTCCGCGTCCAGGTAATCATCAAACAACATTTTTATTCTTCGGACGTTGAAGCGTACATGTGTATAGGTCCTTTCAAGTTACCACAGTCGGCCTTTTTGCATGCTCACCGAACCTGTGCTGCTGTCCGCGGGAGACGTATCTGCTCACCCACCAGTTGGCCTCGTTTTTCGCATTTCGCGGTCGAACCCGCTCGCCCGTTCTTCGACGCAAGCTATCTATCTATCTTCGAAACGTTGTTCCGCGAAAGGGCGGAGGTAGGTGCTGTCCTCTTGGTAGGTGGAGGGCGCTTGTTCACAAAGTAGCGTTAAGCACGTAGTACACGAGAGAGAGGGAGACGATAGCAATGAAGGCGCCATGCGATGCCTAACCTCCTCCCTCGGGTACTATTTACTACTGCGTGTTGTAGATTCGGCCTGCGTCGGTAGAGAATGGAAAGAGAGACGGAACACGCAGCGAAAATGCAGAAATAGGCACGTCGTTCGCGCTCTCGGGTGAGTCGTGCCCTGCATACACCGTGTAGGCGTAAAGATACAGCGGGGGAGGCTGTGAAGCGCGGGTTGAATACTGTCGGTGCCCGTTATAGAGCCGGTCAATTCTCCGGCATAAACAGGGCCCTCGCTGTGAATGGAACCATTTCATGACTGTTTTTACGATGTAAGGCCGTGTTGGACTGCTCTCCAAGCATACGCCATTTGTTACCGTACGAGAATTTACGCTTACATGTCGCTTTTTCTCACCTGATGTTTTGAGTGCATGGGGTGGCTCCTCTGCTGGCGCCCTTCTCGTCTCCTCTTCTCTCAGGCGGCAAGCTCACGGCGGTGGTTATCCTACCCAGCTCCGGCAAGACTTCATTCGGCGCGCTCATGAAGACCACGCAAGACGTGCGCGGGTTCTTCGGACGCCACTACCCCAGCGCCTTCGGCGGCGAAGGGCCTAGCGTGGAGGTTGCCAAAGACTTCCATGAGCGACGGTGGGAGGGTGTGGGATTGCCACCTACGTAGTCAAGAACATCTACGCTGCGAAAAAGAGAAGGCCGTAGTCGACCGACGTTGTCGGGGAGGAGTCAAAACCCACTTGTATAGACGTCATTGGGGAGGCGTCAAAACCCACTATATAGACGTTGTTGTGGAGAAGTAAAAACCCATTGTATAGGTCGTTCTACACGTCCACGTATTGTGTAGCCTGACGGACGTGAAGAGAACGAGCAACATCTGCCTTTTGGGGACTCGCGACACAGATTTACTCAATTGTCACGTCGTACGATCTTTTTGCGTCAGCGTCCTTTCCAGGCTGATATATCGAGTTTTTCACTTTGGAGGCTCAGAAACAATCCGTGCACCCCTGTTCCGTTCCGTTGCATGAGTCGCTGCTACTCTTCGCCGGCGAGGAGCACACGATGAGACACAGCCATGACGGTGTATCAGCATCTTTGCTCGCAGCCTAATGGTTCAACGCGTGACAATTGTCAGAAAAACAGACCCATCTATTCAGCCGGTTGTGTGATGAGCACACAACTTCGTTGAGATCCCCCCCCCCCCCCCCCCCCCCCCCCCCCC